TGGTTGCACATGCAACTTTGCAACTGTGCATTGGTAAATATAACCAATTTGATTGACGTTATAAAGATGCAGTTTGAATACTAATGCAACTGGAAGTGAATTTAAATCGATCCGAGAAAAATATTAAGGATTCATTAATAAAACGTGCCACTGATACATTATTGTTGTTTTCCAATATTTTAGATGTCAGTAAATGTGGTGTACCAGCTGCCTCTACAGATTTTACCACTACAAGGTTTGCAACGTATTGCCCATTATAATTTGTAGTTTCATTTACTGCTATCCAAAAATCATGAACCCTATTGAAAATTTGCAACAATCTTGGTGTTCTGGGTATTTTGTTTTCGAAAAAATTCGAATTTTGAAGGTCCTGATGTCTCATTGATCAAAAGATTTGAAAGAATCTGTAGGACCTTTTCAAGAATATGAAATAATTTGAAGGAATCCTCCGAAAGTCCTAATATATGATTTTTCAAAAAATTCGAAAGAATCTCTCCGGCCTTTTCAAGTATCTGAAGTAATTTGGAAGAGTCTCAAGAGTTCCTTGTCTTTTGTATTTGAAGTAATCTGAAAAACTCGCATACATTCCTTGTATCTTGGTCTTGGATTGATCTTAAAGAATCTAGGGCACTCCTTACGTTTTTTTCTGTCGGAGACTCCTTGTGTCTTGTTTTTGAAGTAATTTAAAAGAACCTCGAGGGCTCGTTTTGTCTTGGTTTTGTGATAATTTGCAACGATCTTGGCAGCTCCTTGTGTCTTGTATTTGAAGTAATTTAAAAGAAACTCGGAGACTCTTTGTGTCTTGTAAGTATTTGAAGTAATTTGAAAAAGTCTCGGGGGCTGCTTATGTCTTGTTTTTAAAGTAGTTTCAAAGAATCTCGGGAGCTCGTCATTGCATCATGGTTTTGAGGTAATTGAAAGAATTTCGGGGGCTCCTCATTGTGTCTTCTTTTTGAGGTACTTGAAAGAATCTCGGGGCTACTTGTGTCTGATTTTTGAAATAATTTGAAAGAGTCTCAGGGGTTGATTGTGTCTTGTTTTTGAAGTAGTTTGAAAGAATCTCGAGGATTCCTCCTTGGGTCTTGATTTTGAAGTAGTTGAAAGAATCTCATGGGTTCCTCATTGGGTTATGGTCTTGAAGTAATAGGTAGAATCTCAGGGGCTCCTTGTGTCTGAATTTTGAAATTATTTGAAAGAGTCTCGGGGGTGGTTTGTGTCTTGTTTTCGAAGTAGTTTGAAAGAATCTCGGGGGCTCCTCATTGGGTCTTGATTTTGAGATAATTGAAAGAATCTGGGGACTGCTCATTGGGTCTTGGTTTTGAGGTAATTGAAAGAATGTCAGGCGCTCCTCATTGGGCCTTGTTTTTGACGTAATTGAAATATCTAAGGAGCTTCTTGTGTCTGGTTTTTGAAAAAATTTGAAAGAGTCTCGAGAGCTGCTTGTGTTTTGCTTTTAAAGTAGTTTGAAAGAATGTCGGGGGCTCCTTATTGGGTCTTGGTTTTGAAGTAAACGAAAGAATCTCGGGAGCTTCCCATTGGGTCTTGATTTTGAGATAATTGAAAGAATCGGGGGGGTCCTCATTGGATCTTGGTTTGGTAGTAATTGAAAGATTCTCGGGGGCTTCTTGTGTCTTGGTTTTGAGGTCACTGAAAAAATCTCCGGGGCTCCTAATTGGATTTTGGTTTTGAGATAATTGAAGGAATCCCGAAGGCTCTTCATTGTGTCTGATTTTTGAAATAATTTGAAAGAGTCTCAGGGGCTGCTTGTGTCTTCTTTTTGAAGTAGTTTGAAAGAATCTCGGGGATTCCTTCTTGGGTCTTGGATTTAAAGTAGTTGAAAGAATCTCACGGGTTCCTTATTGGGTCTTGGATTTGAAGTAATTGATAGAATTTCAGGGGCACTTTGTGTCTGATTTTTAAAATTATTTAAAAGAATCTCGGGAGCTACTTGTGTAGGACTTGTACGGACTTGTTCACACGCATATAACATATGCGTTGTTGGTTTGGGGCCACTCTTACCACAGTTATGTAATCTTCAAATTGCAGCGGAGAGCTTTACGTATAATTTGTGGTATTCCCTATAGAGCAGATTGTAGGAAATTTTTTCAGAAACTAGGGGTACTTACACTACCAAGTGCATATATATTGCAGAGTCTGTTATACATAAAAAACAATGAGACAGATTTTTCAGTACCGAAAGAACATCATGGTTATGAAACACGAGGAAATAATGACATTGTTGCTCGATATCATAGAATAAGTAAAACACGAACTGGATCAAATTATTTCTGTGTGAAATTTTTTAATCATTTGCCAGCTGATGTACGCAAGTTAGATGCACTATCGTTTAAAAAGTTTATTTCAAAGTTTCTAAAAATCCATCCGTTTTATCATTTTTCCGAATATCTTGAATTTAATATTGACAGTATTGAGGTGTAATAATCATCAGTCTTTTCGTTGATGCGTTTTTTGTATATATATACATATATATTGTGTGTACTGTTTTGACGTGTGTAAGTACTTTGTACATATAACATGAATAAAGATTATTATATTATTATTATTATTATTATTGTTTTTGAAGTAGTTTGAAAGAGTCTCGGGGGCTCCTCATTGGGTCTTGTTTTTGAGGTAATTGAAAGAATCTCAAGGGGTTTCTTGTGTCTGATTTTTGAAATAATTTAAAAGAGTCTCAGGGGCTGCTTATATCTTGTTTTTAAAGTAGTTTGAAAGAATATTGGGGATTGCTCATTGTGTCTTGTTTTTGAGGTAATTGAAAGAATTTCGGGGACTCCTCATTGTGTCATAGTTTTGAGGTAATTGAAAGAATCTCGGGGGCTCCTCACTGGGTCATTGTTTTGAGGTAATTAAAAGTACCTCAGGGGCTCCTCATTGCGTCATGGTTTTGAGGTAATTTAAAGAATTTCGGAGGTTCCTAATTAGGCCTTATTTTTGAGGTATTTAAAAGAATCTCGGGGGCTCCTCATTGGGTGTTATTTCTGAAGTAATTGAAAGAATCTCGGGGGCTCCTCATTGGGTCTTATTTTTGAGGTAATTGGAAGAATCTCGGGAGCTCCTCATTGGGTCTTGGTTTTGATGTAATTAAAGAATCTCGGGAGCTCCTCATTGGGTCTTATTTTTAAGGTAACTGAAACAATCTCAGGGGCTACTCATTGCGTCATGGTTTTGAGGTAATTTAAAGAATCTCGGGGATTCCTAATTGGGTCTTATTTTTGAGGTACTGAAAGAATCTCAGGGGCCCCACATTGCGTCATGGTTTTGAGGTAATCAAAAGAATCTCGGGGGCTTCTCATTGGGCCTCATTTTTGAGGCAATTGAAAGATTCGGGGGGGCTCCTCATTGCGTCATGGTTTTGAGGTAATTGAAAGAATCTCGGGGGCTCCTCATTGGGTCTTGGTTTTGATGTAATTAAAAAATCTCGGAAGCTCCTCATTGGGTCTTATTTTTGAGGTAACTGAAACAATCTCAGGGGCTCCTCATTGCGTCATGGTTTTGAGGTAATTGAAATAATCTCGGGGACTCCTCATTGGGTGTTATTTCTGAAGTAATTGAAAGAATCTCAGGGGCTCCTCATTGTGTCTTGGTTTTGAGGTAATTGAAAGAATCTCGGGGGCTCCTCATTGCGTCATGGTTTGGAGGTAATTGAAAGAATCTCGGGGATCCTCATTGGGTCTTATTTTTGAGGTAATTGAAAGAATATGGGGGCTCCTCATTAGGTGTTATTTCAGAAGTAATTGTAAGCATCTCAGGGGCTCTTTATTGGGTCATGGTTTTGAGGTAATTTAAAGAATGTCGGGGGCTCCTCATTGGGTCTTTGTTTTGAGGTAATTAAAGAATCTCGGGAGCTCCTCATCGGGTCTTATTTTTGAGATAATTGAAAGAATCTCAGGGGCTCCTCATTGCGTCATGGTTTTGAGGTAATTGAAAGAATCTCCGGGGCTCCTCATTGGGTCATGGTTTTGAGGTAATTTAAAGAATCTCGGGGGTTCCTAATTGGGTCTTACTTTTGAGGTAATGAAAAAAACTCAGGGGCTCCACATTGCGTCATGAGTTTGAGGTAATTTAAAGAATCTCGGGGACTCCTCATTGGGTCTTGTTTTTGAGGTAATTGAAAGAATCAGAACCTACCAACATACTTAGCTGAGCAATAAACTTTGTTCATTGGTGACAGATAAATAAGATTTGCATTACTGAATTGTCGGCATTTTGGTAATGGAATTGCCGTGACCCTTTTACCCAAGACTCGGGTTGGATTACCTTTCTTTTTTCTTTATAATTCTGGAAATGTTAAATATGACTTTCGCAAGAAACATAAATAGAAAATTCAAATTTTAGAACAAATACGCAGAAATAAGTCGAAGAAACTCAACAAAGACACTCATAATCAAAAATAGGCAAATAAGCAAAAACAAGCCGAGCTCTTTATTTATGAATATGTATCTTGTTACGTTGCAAAACGAGTTCACTCTCTGTCTATGAAAATTAGCTTTGTAATTTTGATTAAAGTACAAAATTGCGTTTATCACCGACTATGCAGACAATTAGCATAAATTATGACCAAGTCCTTGAACGCTAACGATAAATTTCAACCTAATCACGGTAGTAAAGTTAAAATCGGTCTAAATACAAATTCGGTCGCAATAATTACAAAGTCAAAACACAGCTTTCTGCATAATGAAAATTTCTGCAATAAAACAATTACCATAACGCTGTCGATGAACGCCGCCCTACAAATTCATTATTTAAATTTGAAACAGATCCTCTCGAATGAATAATAACCATTTCAGTCAACTTTTAGTCAAATCAAACCGTGAACGCAAATGAGAAATAAATTAAACTCTTCAAGAAGTGCCTCAGCTTCGCTGAATTTTTAAAATTCTCTTTATTATTCGATTAACCCGAACGATGACTCCGTTTGAATTAAAAATAAGCCATTGTGTCTCTTGTGTGGGATAATTAAAAAGTTCGCTGTTTTATAGGGTATGGCGGTTCCAGAAAATCCAGAAGAGGAAACCGGAACCAAGACGACAGTCCGATGAAAGTTGGAACGAACGAGACGCCGCCACCGACTCCGAAGAACCAAAACGACGAAGACAAAGCCAACTCTTCAAAGAATAACCGAAGAAGTTGGATACGGAGTTCGTTTCAAAACGAGAGCAAAAAGACGATAACTGTGAACTTATAGCCGATGAGTGTGTCCGAATAATGAATTGTTATTGTGATAAATATTTCAAATGTTAATTAGTATTGTGAATTGTCATTAAGGTTTAACTATTTGGGGCAGAAAGCATTGTTAGAACTGTTTAATCAATGAGTGCTTTCTGTCCGAACGCAGCTTTAATATAAACAAAGACTTAAAAGCTTGTTATTTCGGTTTAAAATACTTTGATGTGATGGGTTTTGATCGATTTTAAAACATTGACAGAAAAAATTCTGTGATATCTGATAATAATAATGATACATATTTTTATTCATTGTTATTTATTCCTATAGTTCGTTCAATTTTGCAATTTTCGACAAAGTTTTAGAAATATGAAACAACAAAATTGTGATAATTTGTTTTCAAACGGTGTTATAAAACTCGTTTCCTACAAACAAGTTTAACAATTAATATTTAAATTATACAAGTTTCTGAAGACGCATTTCCTAGTGGAAAAGTTCGTAAATAAATATCAATAGCGAATAGAAATTATAGCTTTTGGAGTTTCAGTGCACCAGTTGCCACAGCAGGTACGGTTGTTAATTTAACTTATTCACAATTTGAATTTATAGTAAATTCAAAACACTTTTGCATTTTAAATAGAAACATTTTGTAAGTAAAAAATATTATTATAATAACAATAAATAAAAATATAAACTTGCGAGTTTTTAGTGCAATTTTAAATTGATTTATTTTTAAAATTTTATATTTGCTTTAACCCAATAGTGAGTTTCATCTAAATAAAATAAGTCTCTAAAAGATTGGTTTTTAATCACCTGCGACAAGGCATTGCGGTACACAACACTTTCCTCAGGCAGACAAATACAAATACAGCATTACGCACAAACTTTTGTGGGTACATACTGTATAATCATAAACCTACATATATTATAGTTGGACATCCTAATACAAATTTTACTTCGCCTAAATAATGAGCTTTAGGACAAGGTACAAGGAATCCAGGGGGCGTGGGACAACGTATTAGGTTTATTTTACTCTACTTTTTTTACGGTTTATGCATCCGTGTTGAGTTTTCACCTTGGCCGTCAAGATTTTTGGAAAAAAAATGAACATTTTCCAATTTATAATGTTATTTAAATTTTAAAAAATAGCATAGTCCTGATCTTGTGATTTATAAATACGCTATTGAGACTTTTCGGCTTTTCGATTTCTGGATTTTTCAACTTTAAGTGTCTCAATTTTTCAATATTTCAATTTTGGGCTTTTCCAATTCTTCAAATTTTCCATTTCTCGATTTTTACTTTTTGGATTTTCAATTTATTGTTAAACTTAGATTTTTCAATTCTTCGACTGTTTTATACTTTTTTTCGATGTTTTAATAATTCATTTTTTAAAATTCTAAGTTTTTCGATATCTCGAGTTTTCAATACTTCTATATTTCAATTTTTCAATTTTTCAAATTTTTTAATTTTAATTTTCGATTTTCCAGTTTTTCTTTTTTTAAAATTTTTCGATTATTCAATTTTTTAATTTCTCAATTTATCGAATTCAGATGTTTCGTTGTTTTGATTGTTCAGTTTCTAAATTTATCAATTTTTCAATTTTTAACTCTCCGTTTCGACTTACGACTCCACAATTTCTCGATCCTTCGATTTTTCGATTTCTCGATGTCTCAGTTTTTGAATTTTTCGATGCTTCGATTTTTGGATTTCTCGGTTTCTCGATTTTTTTCTTTTGAGCTTCTCAATTTCTGGATTTTCCAATTTTTTAATGTTCCGATTTTTCAATTTTTCAATTTTTTAAATTGAATTGGATTTCTCGATTCTTAAATTTTGCGATATTTTAATTGTTCAATGTTTTAAATCTTAGATTTTTCGATTTCTCGATTTTTTGACTTCTCAGTTCTTCAGTATTTAAATTTTTCAATGAAAAAATTTTGACGTTAAATTTTCAGTTTTCTGATTTCTCGATTAATCTATTTTTGATTTTCCCACTTCTCAAAGTTTCGATTTTTCAGTTCTACAATTCTTCAATTTTTCGACTTCGCTTTATTGGTTTTTCGATTTCTCAATTTTTGGATATTTCTTTCAGTTTTGATATTTTTCAATACTTCGATTCTTTGATTTTTCGATCTCTAGATTTTTCGATTTTTTTTTCAGTTTTTTGTTTTTTATACATTAAATTTTTCAATTTTTCGATTGTTTTATATTTCAATTTCCCAATTTTTCAACTTTTCCATATTTTAATTTTTAAATTTCTAGATTTTTCGGTTTCTCGATTTTTCAGTTCTTCAGTTCTTCAATTTTTCGATTATTCAGGTTTTTGATTTTTCAATTTTTCGATTTTTTAAGTTTGCGATTTTTCGACTCTGCTTTTTGACTTTTCTGTTTCTCAATTTTTTGATTTCCTAATTTTTGGATATTTCGTTCAATTTTGTGATTTTTCAATTTTTCAATTTTTTAAATTGAATTGGATTTCTCGATCCTTAAATTTTGCGATATTTTAATTGCTCAATGTTTTAAATCTTAGATTTTTCGATTTCTCGATTTTTTGACTTCTCAGTTCTTCAGTATTTAAATTTTTCAATGAAAAAATTTTGACGTTAAATTTTCAGTTTTCTGATTTCTCGATTAATCTATTTTTGATTTTCCCACTTCTCAAAGTTTCGATTTTTCAGTTCTACAATTCTTCAATTTTTCGACTTCGCTTTATTGGTTTTTCGATTTCTCAATTTTTGGATATTTCTTTCAGTTTTGATATTTTTCAATACTTCGATTCTTTGATTTTTCGATCTCTAGATTTTTCGATTTTTCATTGTTGGAATTTCAGTTTTTGTTTTTTATACATTAAATTTTTCAATTTTTCGATTGTTTTATATTTCAATTTCTCAATTTTTCAACTTTTCCATATTTTAATTTTTAAATTTCTAGATTTTTCGATTTCTCGATTTTTCAGTTCTTCAGTTCTTCAATTTTTCAATTATTCAGGTTTTTGATTTTTCAATTTTTCGATTTTTTAAGTTTGCGATTTTTCGACTCTGCTTTTTTGACTTTTCTGTTTCTCAATTTTTTGATTTCCTAATTTTTGGATATTTCTTTCAATTTTGTGATTTTTCAATTTTTCAATTTTTTAAATTGAATTGGATTTCTCGATCCTTAAATTTTGCGATATTTTAATTGTTCAATGTTTTAAATTTTAGATTTTTCGATTTCTCGACTTTTTGACTTCTCAGTTCTTCAGTATTTAAATTTTTCAATGAAAAAATTTTGACGTTAAATTTTCAGTTTTCTGATTTCTCGATTAATCTATTTTTGATTTTCCCACTTCTCAAAGTTTCGATTTTTCAGTTCTACAATTCTTCAATTTTTCGACTTCGCTTTATTGGTTTTTCGATTTCTCAATTTTTGGATATTTCTTTCAGTTTTGATATTTTTCAATACTTCGATTCTTTGATTTTTCGATCTCTAGATTTTTCGATTTTTTTTTCAGTTTTTTGTTTTTTATACATTAAATTTTTCAATTTTTCGATTGTTTTATATTTCAATTTCTCAATTTTTCAACTTTTCCATATTTTAATTTTTAAATTTCTAGATTTTTCGGTTTCTCGATTTTTCAGTTCTTCAGTTCTTCAATTTTTCAATTATTCAGGTTTTTGATTTTTCAATTTTTCGATTTTTTAAGTTTGCGATTTTTCGACTCTGCTTTTTTGACTTTTCTGTTTCTCAATTTTTTGATTTCCTAATTTTTGTATATTTCGTTCAATTTTGTGATTTTTCAATTTTTCAATTTTTCAAATTAAATTGGATTTCTCGATTCTTAAATTTTGCGATATTTTAATTGTTCAATGTTTTAAATCTTAGATTTTTCGATTTCTCGACTTTTTGACTTCTCAGTTCTTCAGTATTTAAATTTTTCAATGAAAAAATTTTGACGTTAAATTTTCAGTTTTCTGATTTCTCGATTAATCTATTTTTGATTTTCCCACTTCTCAAAGTTTCGATTTTTCAGTTCTACAATTCTTCAATTTTTCGACTTCGCTTTATTGGTTTTTCGATTTCTCAATTTTTGGATATTTCTTTCAGTTTTGATATTTTTCAATACTTCGATTCTTTGATTTTTCGATCTCTAGATTTTTCGATTTTTTTTTCAGTTTTTTGTTTTTTATACATTTAATTTTTCAATTTTTCAATTGTTTTATATTTCAATTTCTCAATTTTTCAACTTTTCCATATTTTAATTTTTAATTTCTAGATTTTTCGGTTTCTCGATTTTTCAGTTCTTCAGTTCTTCAATTTTTCAATTATTCAGGTTTTTGATTTTTCAGTTTTTCGATTTTTTAAGTTTGCGATTTTTCGACTCTGCTTTTTTGACTTTTCTGTTTCTCAATTTTTTGATTTCCTAATTTTTGGATATTTCGTTCAATTTTGTGATTTTTCAATTTTTCAATTTTTTAAAGTGAATTGGATTTCTCGATTCTTAAATTTTGCGATATTTTAATTGTTCGATGTTTTAAATCTTAGATTTTTCGATTTCTCGACTTTTTGAATTCTCAGTTCTTCAGTATTTAAATTTTTCAATGAAAAAATTTTGACGTCAAATTTTCAGTTTTCTGATTTCTCGATTAATCTATTTTTGATTTTCCCACTTCTCAAAGTTTCGATTTTTCAGTTCTACAATTCTTCAATTTTTCGACTTCGCTTTATTGGTTTTTCGATTTCTCAATTTTTGGATATTTCTTTCAGTTTTGATATTTTTCAATACTTCGATTCTTTGATTTTTCGATTTTTTTTCAGTTTTTTGTTTTTTATACATTAAATTTTTCAATTTTTCGATTGTTTTATATTTCAAATTCTCAATTTTTCAACTTTTCCATATTTTAATTTTTAAATTTCTAGATTTTTCGGTTTCTCGATTTTTCAGTTCTTCAGTTCTTCAATTTTTCAATTATTCAGGTTTTTGATTTTTCAATTTTTCGATTTTTTAAGTTTGCGATTTTTGGACTCTGCTTTTTCGACTTTTCTGTTTCTCAATTTTTTGATTTCCTAATTTTTGGATATTTCGTTCAATTTTGTGATTTTTCAATTTTTCAATTTTTCAAATTAAATTGGATTTCTCGATTCTTAAATTTTGCGATATTTTAATTGTTCAATGTTTTAAATCTTAGATTTTTCGATTTCTCGACTTTTTGACTTCTCAGTTCTTCAGTATTTAAATTTTTCAATGAAAAAATTTTGACGTTAAATTTTCAGTTTTCTGATTTCTCGATTAATCTATTTTTGATTTTCCCACTTCTCAAAGTTTCGATTTTTCAGTTCTACAATTCTTCAATTTTTCGACTTCGCTTTATTGGTTTTTCGATTTCTCAATTTTTGGATATTTCTTTCAGTTTTGATATTTTTCAATACTTCGATTCTTTGATTTTTCGATCTCTAGATTTTTCGATTTTTTTTTCAGTTTTTTGTTTTTTATACATTTAATTTTTCAATTTTTCAATTGTTTTATATTTCAATTTCTCAATTTTTCAACTTTTCCATATTTTAATTTTTAATTTCTAGATTTTTCGGTTTCTCGATTTTTCAGTTCTTCAGTTCTTCAATTTTTCAATTATTCAGGTTTTTGATTTTTCAGTTTTTCGATTTTTTAAGTTTGCGATTTTTCGACTCTGCTTTTTTGACTTTTCTGTTTCTCAATTTTTTGATTTCCTAATTTTTGGATATTTCGTTCAATTTTGTGATTTTTCAATTTTTCAATTTTTTAAATTGAATTGGATTTCTCGATTCTTAAATTTTGCGATATTTTAATTGTTCAATGTTTTAAATCTTAGATTTTTCGATTTCTCGACTTTTTGACTTCTCAGTTCTTCAGTATTTAAATTTTTCAATGAAAAAATGTTGACGTTAAATTTTCAGTTTTCTGATTTCTCGATTAATCTATTTTTGATTTTCCCACTTCTCAAAGTTTCGATTTTTCAGTTCTACAATTCTTCAATTTTTCGACTTCGCTTTATTGGTTTTTCGATTTCTCAATTTTTGGATATTTCTTTCAGTTTTGATATTTTCCAATACTTCGATTCTTTGATTTTTCGATCTCTAGATTTTTCGATTTTTTTTTCAGTTTTTTGTTATTTATACATTAAATTTTTCAATTTTTCGATTGTTTTATATTTCAAATTCTCAATTTTTCAACTTTTCCATATTTTAATTTTTAAATTTCTAGATTTTTCGGTTTCTCGATTTTTCAGTTCTTCAGTTCTTCAATTTTTCGATTATTCAGGTTTTAGATTTTTCAATTTTTCGATTTTTTAAGTTTGCGATTTTTCGACTCTGCTTTTTTGACTTTTCTGTTTCTCAATTTTTTGATTTCCTAATTTTTGGATATTTCGTTCAATTTTGTGATTTTTCAGTTTTTCGATTTCTCAATATTAACTTTTCAATTTTTAAATTATTAGTTTTTTCGATTTTCCAATTTTTTTTTTATTTTTCGATTTTCCAATTGTTCGATGTTTCGATTTTTGAATTAACCGACTTTCCAATTTTTATTTTTTTGATTTTTTTATTTTTCGATTTCTCGATTTTACAATTTTCCCACATTTGAATTTTTCAATGTTTTCAATTTTCGATTTCGAGAATTTACTGTGTTACAGTAGTCATCACTCATCAAGAATATACTTAAACAATGCTTTAGTGGATTATAATTAATAATTTTTTGAAAATAAGAAGCGGCACATCAAAACAATTGCGTCAGCGCCTACTTCGACTACAATCATTTATGATAAGCCTGTATATCAACATGTCACTCAGAGATACCAAACCCGCAAAAAAGTTATTCGTCCACTTTTAGCCGTCGATTTAACCGCAAACAAAAAACTGAACAAAACGAAATCCAAAAAACTGGTGATTACAGTGATAAAAACCAAGAAAAAGCTTTATCTCGCCACAATTTTTTAAAATATCGACCAGTCTAGTATTTTTTTCACCATGAGGTTGGCACGAATACTCCGTTCTTGGTCACTAGCTCGATCTGCTAACCTCGAAAAAAACCGACGAAACGTAATTTTCTGCAATAAAATAAAAACTCGTTCGTTAGCAGACTCGGCCATAACGCACGCAGAAATTATGGCAAACGTCGGAAAACCGGTGCCCCGTGTCTACAGTAAAAGCAACGACAAAAGTCAAGATGAGGTTAGTTTTTTGAAAGGTACAGTTTCAATTTAATTTTTCAAATTTTACAGAAACTGCTGCAGCCGTTTACGTACATTTTGCAAAATCCGGGCAAAAATATACGTTTTAAGCTGGCTCAGGCGTTCAATCACTGGCTTAATATTCCAGAAGACAAGTTAAAGATGATCGGAGAAATTGTTGAAATGATGCACAATTCCAGCCTTCTGTAAGTTGGCGATTTTTTAGGGGTTGAGAGTCAAGGTTTTTTTTAGTCTGGATGACATCCAGGACAATTCTATACTGCGCAGGGGGATTCCAGTGGCCCATTCAATCTATGGGGTCCCTAGTACCATAAACGCAGCCAACTATATTCTGTTTATTGCGCTGGAAAGGTTGCTGGATTTGGAGCATCCGGACGTACTACATCTTCCTGGTGTTTATTTTTCCTAATTAATAAGTGGTCTATTTTTAGGCTGTGCGTGTTTATACTGAACAAGTTTTAGAATTACACAGGGGCCAAGGCATGGAAATTTATTGGAGGGATAGTTTCACGTGCCCTAGCGAAAATGAGTACAAGCAAATGACAATTAGAAGTAAGTTCTACCAACAGTTGAGTCAAATTACCCTGATTCACCAATTTTAGAAACTGGAGGCCTTTTCATGTTAGCAATAAGACTAATGCAGCTGTTTAGTGAAAACAAAGCTGACTATACTAAGCTCACTGGCATTCTAGGACTGTATTTTCAAATTCGCGATGATTATTTAAATTTGTATTCCAAAGATGTAAGTAAGTAAGTTATTAAATTAAAAATTCATGTCGCGTTTTTTCCAGTATATGTTGCATAAGAGTTTCTGTGAAGACCTCACAGAGGGAAAATTCAGTTTTCCCATTATTCACGCCATTCACAGCCAGCCTGATGATAATCAAGTAATGCGTATCCTTAAGTCATAAAAATTAAGTACATCTGTTAAGATAAGTTTGTCCTTGACGCTGCTGACAGATATTTTGCGTCAGAGAACGAAGGATATCGAGGTGAAAAAGTACTGCGTGGTGTTGTTAGAAAAATACGGAAGTTTTGATTATACCAAAAAGGTGTTAGCTGAGTTGAAGAGGCAGGCTCAAGATGAAGTTAATAAGTTAGGCGAGAATCCGTATATGGCAGATGTGATGGAGCACATTTTCAAGCTAGATTAATGAATGTATAGGTTTTTTGATAAGTTGGTTTTTATTTATATTTAGAAAAGTGTGTGTTTCGGAGTTTATGGCATTTATTGTGAAGATTTCATTTTTATTTATTGTGATATATATTTAAGTTGCTTTCTATTAAAGTTTTTTGCAAGGAAAATGCGTCATTTGTGTTTGAACTGCTATTTAAAGAGTAAATATTACATAAAAGAGGCAAGTTTACACTTAAAACGAGTTATTATGTTATAAGTGGAAAAAGATGTTTGTCATTTAATTAAAGTTCTCATCATGTTTGTGTACTTTGGCATGATTCATAGCAAGTTCTACATTTCGTTTTTAGGCAACCAACAATACACTCTAGATTCTCCAGGAACAGTAGTCCTTTCTTTTTGTTCATTAAATTTTTACATGTAGCATTTTTCGATTTGTGAAAATTTTCAGTTTTTCGATTTTACAATTTCGACGATTCTATAATTTTCCAATTTTTCGCTTTCGCGTTTTTCTTCTTTCTTTTTTTTGTCATTAATTTTTTCGATTTTGTAATTTTTTTTTTTATTATATAATTTTTCAACGATGCGAATAAAAAAAAATGAAAAAATTAAATTACATTGTAAAATTGGGAATCAAGAACTTGAAAAACTGAAAATCGAAAAATTAAAAACTGAGGAACTTAAAAATCGACAAAGCGAAAAATAGGAAAACCGAAATGTTTAAAAATTGACAAACTGAAAAATCAAAGATTGAATATTTGAAAAATTGAATAAACGAAAAATGATAAAATCGAAGGAAACATTGCATAAATAAAAGAAATTAAGAAACAAAAAATGGTGATAAGAAATGTAGAAAATACAAATTTGAAAATCCCGAAAGCGAAACGTCAAAATCAAGAAATTGAAAAATTGAGGAAACGAAAAATTGAAAAATCGAATAAGTGCAAAACCGCACAGATGAATTGTGAAATCAAAATATTGAAAATTAGGGAAATCGGAAAATTGAGAAATTCAAAAATTGCAAAATTCAAAAATTTATAAATTGGTAAATCGTCGAATCAAAAAATCAAACATTGAAAATTTTAAACACTGAATAAACGAAAAATTAAGATCGAAAGAAACATTGAAAAAGTAAAGGAAATGAAAAAACTAAAAATTATATAAAATCGAGAAAATAAAAATTTAAAAAAATTTGAAACACTGCAAAATCGAAAAAATGGGAAATTGTAATATCGAAAAATTGCAAAATTCCATTACGAATCGGAAAATTGAAGAAACGAACAACTGAAAAATGTGGAAATCGAATAATTGAATCATTGAGAAAACCAAAGTTGAGAAAAGGACAATTTATAACACGAAAACACTGAAAAAAATCGAAAAAAAAACAAATAATTTGAAAAAACGAAATGTTGTAATATCAAAAAATTATAAAATCGAAGAAAAAAGATAAACGAAAAATTGAGATATTAAAAATTGTAAAATGGGTAAAGTGAAAATCGAAAGAAAAAAATAAAGGAAATGAAGAACCGAAAAATTGTGATACGAAATCTAGAAAATAAAAATTAAAAAATCGGGAAATTGAAAATTAAAAATTGAGAAATTGAAAAATTGAAAAATCGAAAAAGTGCAAAACCTCAAAGACGAAATATTGTGAACTCAAAATTTTGAAAATTAGGGAAATTGGTAAATCGGATAATGCAGAAAGCCAAAAATTACAAAGTTCAAAAATTTATAAATTGGTAAATTGACGAATCGAGAAATCAAAAATTGAACATAAAAATTGAACAAACGAAAAATTATAAAATCGAAAGAAACATTGAAAAAGTATAGGAAATTAATGAAATGGAACAGTTTTGACAATTCTATAATTTTCCAATTTTTCGCTTTCGCATTTTTTCTTCTTTAGTTTTTTGATTTAATAATTTCTTCGATTTTAAGTTTTTCAGTATTTCAAAATTTAGTTTCTTCAATTCTTCTTTTTTTGATTTTTGATTTTTTTTTCAGTTTTTCAACTTTTTATTTTTTTTCGATTTTTTAGTTTTTCGATTTTTAATTTTTCAATTTTCCAACTTTTTGAATAAAAAAATGAAAAAATTGTAAAGTTGCAAAATCAAGTATGATAAAACGAAAAAGTGTGTATGAAAAGCAAACTTTGAAAAATCTAAAAATTGGAAATCAAGAACTTGAAAAATTGAAAATCGAAAAATAAAAAATTGGGACACTTAAAAATCGCCAAAGTGAAAAATCGAAAAAATGAAATATTGGGACATCGAATTAAAAATTAAAGTAATCAGAAAATCAGAAAATTGGGAAATCCAAAAATTTCAAAATTAAAAAATTTTAAAATGAAAATTAAACATCAAGAGATTGAGAAACTGGGAAAAGAAAAAATTAAAAAATCGAAAAAGTGCAAAACCGCAAAGACGAAATATTGGGAGAAATCAAAATACTGAACATTACGGAAATCGGAAAATCGGCTAATGGAGAAATCCAACAATTGTAACGTTCAACATTTTAAAAATTTAATAAATGAAACATGATAAAATCGAAAAAAAAAATTAAAGGAAATGAAAAATTTTGACATAAAATCGAGAAAATAAAGATTAAAAATTCGGGAAAATGAAAAATTAAGGATTGAAAAACTGAAAAACCGAAAAAATGGGAAATTGTAATATCGAAAAATTGCAAAATTCAAAAATTACGAATTGGAAAGTTGAAGAAACGAAAAATTGAAATATTGAAAAATCCATAGTTGAAAAAAGGACAATTTATAAACGAAAACACTGAAAAATCGAAAAGAAAATAAAGAAAACGAAAAAACAAAATGTAATAACTAAAATTAAAAAATAGGAATAAAAAGGAAATGAAACGAAAAATTGTAATATGAAATCTAGAAAATAAAAATTTAAAAATAGAAAAAATGAGCAGCAAAAATCGAGAAATTGAAAAATAAAAAAGTGCACAACCGCAACGACGAAATATTGTGAAATCTAAATATTGAAAATTAGGAAAATCGGAAAACTGGATAATGGAAAAATCCAAAAATTTCAAAGCCCGAAAACTTAATAAATTGGAAAATCAACGAATCAGAAAATCAAAAATTGAAAATTTTAAAAATTGAATAACCGAAAAATTATAAAATCGAAAGAAACATTGAAAAAGTAAAGGAAATGGAAAAACCAAAAATTCTGACATGAAATCTAAAAAATAAAAATTAAAAAATCGGGAAAATGAAAAACTAAAATCGGGAAATTAAAGTTCGAGAAACAACAAAATCGAAAAAATAAGAAATTGTAATATCGAAAAATTGCAAAATCCAAAAATTACAAATCGGAAAACTGAAGAAACGAAGAATTGAAAATTTTGGATGTCGAGAAATTCAAAAATTGAAAAAACCAAATTTGAAAAAAGAAATTATAAAAAAACAAAGAAAATGAAAAAACAAATAATGAAAAATTGAAAAAACAAAAATTGTAAAATTGAGAAATTGAAAAATAAAAATTAAACAATCGAAAAATTAAAAACTGAGAAACCAAAAAATCGAAAAACCAAAAATTGTAAAATCCAAAAATAAAAATTTCGGAAACTGAAAAATCGAAAAAATGGAAAATTGTTAATTCCAAAAATTACAAACCGAAAAATTGAAGAGACGAAGAATTGAAAAATCTGGAAGTCGAGAAAATCAGAAATTGAAAAATAAAAAAGTGCACAACCGCAACGACGAAATATTGTGAAATCTAAATACATATTGAAAATTAGGAAAATCGGAAAATTGGATAATGGAAAAATCCAAAAATTTCAAAGTTCGAAAACTTAATAAATTGGAAAATCAACGGATCGGAAAATCAAAAATTGAAAATTTTAAAAATTGAATAACCGAAAAATTATAAAATCGAAAGAAACATTGAACATGTAAAGGAAATGAAAAATTGTGATATAAAATCGAGAAAGTAAACATTAAAAATTCGGGAAAATGAAAAATTGAAATCAGGGACTTGAAAAACTGAAGAAACAAAAATTTGAAAAATTGAAAAATTGAGAAATGTGGAAGTCGGTACTTGAAAAATTGAAAAAACGAAAGTTGAAAAAAGAAGATTTATAAAACAAAAACACTGAAAAATTGAAAAGAAAATAAAGAAAATGAAAAAACGAAATGTTGTAATATAAAAAATTATAATATCGAGGAAAAAAGAAAAACGAAAAATAGAAATATTAAAAATTGTAAAATCAAAAAATTAAAAATTGAGAAACTTAAATATCGGCAAAATGAGAAATCCGTAAATCAAAGATCGAAAATTTAAAAAATGGAATAAACGAAAAAATTATAAAGTCGAAAGAAAGACTGAAAAAGTAAAGGAAATGGAAAAACCAAGAATTCTGATATGAAATCTAAAAAATAAAAATTAAAAAATCGGGAAAATGAAGAACTAAAATCGGGAAATTAAAGTTCGAGAAACAGCAAAATCGAAAAAATAAGAAACTGTAATATCGAGAAATTGCAAAATCCAAAAATTACAAATCGGAAAACTGAAGAAACGAAGAATTGAAAATTTTGGAAGTCGAGAAATTCAAAAATTGAAAAAACCAAATTTGAAAAAGAAATTATTAAACCGAAACATCGAAAAATCGAAAAAAATAAAGAAAATGAAAAAACAAATAATGAAAAATTGAAAAATCAAACATTGTAAAATTAAGAAATTGAAAAATAAAAATTAAACAATCGAAAAATTAAAAACTGAGAAACTAAAAAATCGAAAAACCAAAAATTGTAAAATCCAAAAATAAAAATTTGGGAAACTGAAAAGTCGAAAAAATGAAAAATTGTTATATGGAAAAATTGCTAATTCCAAAAATTACAAATCGAAAAATTGAACAGACGAGGAACTGAAAAATCTGGAAATCGAGAAAATCCGAAATTGGAAAAAATAAACTTGAAAAAAAAATTATAAAACGGGAAACACTGAAAAATCGTAATACCAAAAAATTATAAAATAAAAGACGAAAAATTGTGATTTCAAAAATTGTAACGAAACGAAAAATTAAAAATTGAGAAACTTAAAAATCGCCCAAGTAAAAAATCGAAAATATGAAATATTGGGAAATCGCAATAAAAATTAAAGTAATCAGAAAATCAGATAATTGGGAAATCCAAAAATTGCAAAATTAAAAAATTTGAAAATTGGTAAATCAACGAACTGAAAAATCAGAAATAGAAAATTTGAAAAATTGAATAGAAAGGAAAGGAAAAAATGAAAAATTGTGAGATAAAATTTTGAAAATAAAAATTAAAAAATCCGGAAAATGAAAAATTATAATCAGTTACTTGAGAATTTGATAAACATAAATTTGAAAAATTGAAAAATTAAAGATTGAGAAACTGAAAAATCGTAAAAATGAGAAATTGTAGTATCGAAAAACTGCAAAATTCAAAATTTACAAATCGGAGAATTGAAGAAACGAAAAATTTGGAAGACAAGCAATTGAAAAATTGAAAAAAAATTATAAAAGCGAAACATCGATAACTCGTAAAAAATTAATAGAAAATGGAAAAACAAATCATTGTGATATCAAAAAATTATACAATTGAAGAAAAGGAAAAGAGAGAAATAATAAAATCAAAAAACTGAATAATTATGACTCCAGAAAATAAAAAATTGAAAAATCAAAAATTCTAAAATTAAGAAATCGAAAAATAAAAATCAAGAACTTGAAGAAACAAAAAATTGAACAATTAAAAAATTAAAAACTGAAAAAGTAAAAAATCGGAAAACCAAAAATAGAAAAAAAGAGAATTCGAAAAGTTGAAAAAATTAAATTAAAGAAATTATAAAACCGAAACATTAAAAAATCGGAAAATTAAAAAATGAAAGAAAATGAAAAAACGAAAAATTAAAATTTGAGAAACTAAAATATCAAAAAAAAATGAGAAATTGTAAAATCGAAAAATTGCAAAATCCAAAAATTACAAAAAAAGCAAAAATAAAAAATAAAAAATCGTGATATCAAAAATTGTCAAATTGAAAACTTGAATAATTAAAAACCCAGAAAATGAAAAATTGAAAAATAAAATATTGTAAAATTGAGAAATTGAACAACTGAAGAAACGGAAATTTGAACAATCAAAAAATTAGAAAGTGAGAAACCAAAAAATCGAAAAAAAAACCAAAAATTGTAAAATCCAAAAATTGCAAACCGAGATACTAAAGAAACAAAAAATTGAAAAATTTGGAGGTGGAGAATTTGAAAAATTGAAAAAATTAACTTAAAAAAAAAAATTATGAAACCGAAACAAAAAAAAAGGGAAAATTGAATAATGAATGATCATCAACTAGAACTAGGATGAACACTCCTGAAGCACAAAAAGAGTACAAAAGCGATGTAGACATTATTAAGTTATTTACTCCTTCTCATTATCTAATACTATTAAACGAGCAAAGTTTGTATATATTTATATATATATATATAATGGGTTTCTCGAAAACGGCTCTAACGATTTCGATGAAATTTACAGGTTAGGGGTTTTTTGGGTCAAAAAATCGATTGATCATAGTTTTAACTTCTGAAAATTACAGCTTCATGCATTTTCAGCAATTTTCAGGCAGTGAATTATATTTGTTGCTAGGCAACTTCAGATGACACTACACGAACACGAGATTGTTTTATAAGAGAAGTTTGGGTGACAGTCTGACAGTACGTTTGACGTACCTTTTTATCTTCAATTGTACGTACCGAAACATACTCCACTGTATAGAGGACGTTAAAATTCACCTTCTGAGGTGAGAAAATTTACCGAAAACTAAAGAGTGAGCGGATAAAAGGCACACGAAAGTGCGTTGAATTGAGATTATTTTGTCAAGCATTCATTTCAGAGGTTTCACGGTCGGAGTCAATGTGTGATCGTTTTCCGGGATGGGACCGTGTTATTTGAGTTTTTGGGCTCAACGTTTCGCACACTTTCGTAAGTGGCATCTTCGAGAGCAGGGTTGAGATTGAGAAATTAGGAATAACGCAAAAGAGCACGATAACTCAGTATGATAACCACACCAGAGGCGAAACTCTTCTGGCAGTAAGAATGTAGTTGTGACCTTTTTCTAGAGTCGAGAGAGAGAACTAGGAAAAAAAAAGAACGACAGAGAGAAAACTTGGGTAACAAATGAAATTGTAATAAATGTCAAACAATAATTCCAGTTTTCTGTTCTTTAATCTCTACATGTCACTTATCACTGTTTATAACAAAGACTGCTTATGGAATTTCTTTTTTAATGTGTATTTTTAATTAGCGCGTCTACTTCAAAATGCATACTATACGCATATTTATCTGTCCTAATCTGATCTAATACTACCAAACGAGCCGAGTGAAGCTCGGTCAACCAGATATTTTTATATTAACTGCTAAGAATAATGATATAATATAACCAAAAATGTTGATACGAATTATTAAAGTTAAAACTTAATTATAAATGTGAATGTTTAATTTAATTATATTCATTCTGAAATAATTCTTGTTTACTTCAGTGCCTTGAATCGTATTTATTTCTAACCTTAAACTCATCCGATAAATAATTTCATTTTTCCTTAGGGATTTTTGCATATATGAAATTGGCTGCCAACCAAATTACTAGATTTACAAGGCCTACCTTATCCAAAAACTGTATTCAAAAACATCCTGAACCGCCACCCGCAATGTGTGAACGCCGCTTCAACCTGTATAGGGTGTTGCCTATCCACCTTCCCCCGCATGCGCCGCCCATTCTGCCGCAATCTCGTGAATGTTGACATGAATGGGACGGGAATGGGAAGTAAGGTTGGGATTCATGTCCAGTGCACTTGTAATATAACGAAATAACGTTTTTACCATTTACGAGTCGACGTAGGAGTGTTGGTAGTGATGGATGTGTAACCGTAACCCGCATGTTATAACACGCACTCGAACGCATATAACCCTAAAAGTTAGTGCATACAACCAACGACAATTGGTTACCTGTTTGGTGTTTAATTTAATTGTTCGTTAATTGTCATGTGCATGTGAATATGTTTTATATGGATCGGTTTGCGACTTCGAAAATTCGAAAAGGTAAAAGATTTTCTCAATTAGAACCGAACACGCGTTTGAAAACGGCGCCGGGGTTATTGATTTTTGAGATACGCAGTTAGAATTTTGATTATTCATAAGGATAAATAAGATTTTGGATTACGTCAAGCGCTAACACTTTAGATAATGATAATTGTTAGCTTAAACATTAAGTATTGTGATGTTGTGCATTGTTTGGAGTTGAAATTGCATTTAGGTGTGGAAGAATTTCTGCCCGGTTTTCGTCTGGGAAGAATTTAAATAAATTATTGAACTCAGAGGTGGCTGTGGCATGCTGATGCGTGGGCGAGTCTGACCTTCAATGGTAATTTTTATTCTCGTGGCAGCTACAATTTTCGAAATTCGCTCAAAATTATTGTTCGATTTATTTTTATTAATTAATTTAGTAAATAGAGTTATCTAATTTGTAAAACTACCACCCGTAACTAAAAAGACCGAAAATTTTCAGCACCGTTTGGAAGGGTTATTACCAGAGATTTTAATTTGTTGGAAGGTCCACAATTTTTCTTGTAAGTATTAAATGTCGGGACTAGGTGATGGGCTTTCTATTTTCTATCGCTGGAATTATCACAAACATGGTAATGGTCACAAAAATCTAGCGTCCTTCAAAGCTGCATGGGCTTGACAGAACTGCGCTTTATACTTCTATATTGTTGTCGTTTCCGTCTGACTGTCTGTCTGCCGTCTGTCCGGATTTTTATTAAACAAATTATATTGAACTATGTGTATTACGAATATCGTGTAGATGATCAAATTTTGCTAACCATCCCTACCAATAATTTGTTGACGTCATCTCCAACATTTACAGTTGTACAATTTTGCAGATTTAATTTCTATTTACCAAATATAATTTTTGGTGATTCCAAAAGCATTGTTTATTATTTTAAATCCAATTCTCATGTGAATAACTCGGGTTTAAGGATTGGATTATCGGACGTTGTAGATGAAATTTCTACATTTTTTTCATCTATTTAAGCTTTGTTACCTGTTTTTTCATCCATTTTAAGGTACTTTATCATGTTTTTAAGCAAACTGGCCAATTTTGGAGCAAAATCAGTTTTATCTTAACCAATACTAGGCCCGCCCACCCGCCCCCTATTTTTTCAGAGGATATGTGATTTGCCAAAATAAGACTTGTTAGCAAGTAAAAGCCCTGCCCACTCGCCCTTTATTATCTCAGAGGGTAGGATTTGCTAGTACTTGCTAAGGTAAGTCTTAATTTGGCAAATCACATATCTTCTGAGAAAATAGGGGAGGGTGGGCGGGGCTAGCACTTGACTCAGGTAAGACTGATTTTGGAAAACGCCATATATAAAATAAAAAAGCTCTTTTTAATGCATTTTTTAATATTTCACACCATTTTTAAGATTATTTTTTTTTAAAGTTGTAGATTTCCAAAAATTTTGACCATTATTCCAGTTACCGCAGACTTTGAAATTTTTATAAAAAAAAAAAAAAACACTTCGACGCCAAATTGGCATGTTAAAAATGATAAAACATCTTATACTAAATTAAAAAACAAAATGTGGGGTGAAACATACCAAAATCGAAAGATTATAAATTTGCAAAATTGAATAAACGTAAAATTATAAAATCGAAAGAAACATTAAAAAAATAAAGGGACTGAAAAAACGAAATTGTGATACAAAGTATAGAACATAAAAATTATAAAGTCGGGAAAATGAAAAGTAAAAATCAAGAAACTGAAAAATTGAGGAAACGACAAATTGAAAAAGTGCAAAACTGCAAAGAAGAAATATTATTAAATCAAAATATTGAAAATGAAAGAAATCTGAAAATTAGGTAAAAAAAAATCAAAAATTTAAAAATTAGTAAATCGCCGAAGTGAAAAATCCAGAATGAAAATCTTAAAAATTGAATAAAAGAAAATTTATAAAATCGGGACAACAAAAATTAAAAAATTCGGAAAATGAAAAATAAAAATCGGTAACTTGAAAAACTGACTACACGAAAAATTGAAAAATAAAAAATTGTGAAACTGAAAAATCGTAAAAATGAGAAATTGTAATATTGAAAAATTGAAACATTCAAAAATTACAAATCGAAAAGACGAAGAAACGAAAAATTGGAAATTTTCGAAGCGAAGAAATTGAAAAATTGAAAAATCCAAAGTTAAAAAAAATTGGATTATCGGACATTTTAAATGAAATTTCTAAACTGAAATCAGCAGAAAGTAAAATGGTGCGTTTCACCTCACATTTTTTTTTCATCTATTTAAGCTTGTTTTACCTGTTTTTTCATCGATTTTAAGGTACTTTATTATGTTTTTAAGCAAACTGGCCAAATTTGGAGCAAAATCAGTTTTATCTTAACAAATACTAGGCCCGCCGACCCGCCCCCTATTTTTTCAGAGGATGTGATTTGCTAAAATCAGTCTTATCTTACCAAGTACTATTACGTTAGCAAGTAATAGCCCCGCCCACCCGCCCTTTATTATCTCAGAGGGTAAGATTTGCTAGTACTTGCTAAGGTAACTTTTAATTTGGCAAATCACATATCCTCTGAAAAAATAGGGGTGGGTGGGCGGGTCTAGCACTTGTTCAGATAAAACTGGTTTTGGCAGACGCCATATATAGAATGAAAAGCTTTTTTTAATGCATTTTTTAATATTTCACACCATTTTTAAGGTTATTTTTTAAAAAGTTGTGGATTTCCAAAGATCTTGACCATGATTCCAGCGGATTCATATAGAAACCGCTAACTGAGATTTTTATAAAAAAAAATACAAAAAACGATTTCAGCGTCAAAATTGGAGTGTTAAAAATCATAAAACACCTTATAATAAATAAAAAAAAACAAAATGTGGGGTGAAACGTACCAAAATCGAAAGATAAACATTTTAAAATTGAATAAACGAAGAATTATAAAATGAAAGAAAAATTAAAAAAATAAAGGAAATGAAAAAACGAAAAATTGTGATACGAAATCTAGAAAATAAGAATTAAAAAAATCGACGAAGTGAAAAACCGAGAATGAAAATTTTAACAATTGAATAGAAGAAAATTTATAAAATCGAAAGAAACATTGAAAAACTAAAGGAATGAAAAAAACGAAAAATTGTAATAAAAAATCGGGACAATAAAAATTAAAAATTCGGAAAATGAAAAATTAAAATAGGTAACTTGAAGAACTGACTAAACGAAAAAGTTAAAAATTGAAAAATTAAAAATTGTGAAACTGAAAAATCGTAAAAATGAGAAATTGTAATATCGCAAAATTGCAACATTCAAAAATTACAAATCGAAAAAACGAAGGAACGAAAAATTGAAAATTTTCGAAGCGGAGAAATTGAAAATTGAAAAATCCAAAGTTAAAAAACAATTGGATTACCGGATTTTAGATGAAATTTCTAAATTGAAATCAGTAGAAAGTAAAATGGTGCGTTTCACTTCACTTTTTTTTTTTTCGTCTATATAAGCTTTTTTCATCTGTTTTTTCATCGATTTTAAGGTACTTTATCATGTTTTTAAGCAAACTGGCCAATTTTGGAGCAAAATCAGTTTTATCTTAACGAATACTAGGCCCGCCCACCCGCCCTCTATTTTTTCAGAGGATATGTGATTTGCCAAAATCAGTCTTATCTTACCAAGTACTAACCCCGCCCACCCACCCCCTATTTTCTCAGAGGATATATTATTTGCCAAAATCAGTCTTATCTTACTAACTACTAGCCCCGCCCACCCGCCCTTTATTATCTCAGAGGGTAGGATTTGCTAGTACGTGCTAAGATAAGTCTTAATTTGGCAAATCACATATCCTCTAAGAAAATAGGGGTGGGTGGGCGGGGCTAACACGTGCTCAGATAAGACTGGTTTTGGCAAACGCCATATATAAAATAAAAAAGCTTTTTCTAATAGGCATTTTTTTATATTTCACCCCATTTTTAAGGTCATTTTTTAAAGAGTTGTGGATTTCCAAAGATTTTGACCATGATTCGCCGGATTCATATAGAAACCGCTGAGATTTTTATAAAAAATTACAAAAAACCATTTCAACGTCAAAATTGGTCTGTTAAAAATGATAAAGCATCTTATAAAAATTAAGAAACAAAATGTGGGGTGAAACGTACTAAAATCGAAAGATTAAAAATTTGAAAAATTGAGTAAACGAAAAATTATAAAATCGAAAGAAACATTAACAAAATAAAGGAAATGAGAAAACGAAAAATTGTGATAAGAAATCTAGAAAATAAAAATTAAAAATTCCGGAAAACGAAAAGTAAAGATCAAGAAATTGAAACATCGAAAAAGTGCAAAACCGCAAAGAAGAAATGTTGTTAAATCAAAATATTGAAAATGAAAGAAATCCGAAAATCAGATAATTGAAAGATTCAAATTCATATTTTGCACATTTCGGGTAGATTTTTTAATTTAACACATTACTATGGAATTTTGCAATTTGACATCTTTAAATTTAACAATTGCTTACAAGATTAATAAATCAGTTTCACCTTAACAAAAACTACGACCGCCCACCCGCCCCCCATTTTCCCAGAGGAAGTCATTTGCCAAAATCAGTCTTATCTTGCCAAATACTAGCTCCGCCCACCCTCCCTTTATTTTCTTGGAGCATATATCAATTGCCAAAATCAGTCTCTTAGCAAGCACTAGCCCCGCCCACCCACCCTCTATTTTCTCACAGGTATGACATTTGCCAAATCAGTCTTATCTTAGCAAGTACTGGCCCTGCCCACCCACCCTCTATTTTCTTGGAAGGTATGTCATTTGCCAAAATCAGTCTTATCTTACCAAGTACTAGAAGGGTGGGTGGGCGGAGCTAGCACTTGCTCAGATGAGACTGATTTTGGCAAAAATCAAGGATTGAAAATTTTAAAAATTGAATAAAAGAAAATGTATAAAATCGAAAGGAACATTGAAAAAGTAAAGGAATGAAAAAACGAAAAATTGTGATATAAAATGAAAAAACGAAAAATTGTGATATAAAATCGGGATAATTAAAATTAAAAAATTCGGAAAATGAAAAATAAAAATCGGTAACTTGAAAAGCTGAGGGAACGAAAAAATAAAAAAATTGAAAAATAAAAAATTCTGAAACTGAAAAATCGTAAAATCGAGAAATTGTAATATCGAAGAATTGCGAAATTGAAAAATTGCAATTCGAAGAAATGAAGAAACAAAAAATTGAAAAAACCAAAGTTGAAAAAAAAAATAGAACCGAAACATCAAAAAAAATAAAGAAAATGAAAAAAAAAACAAAAAATTATGAAATTGAGGAAAAGGGAATAACGAAAAATTGTGATGTCAAAAATTGAAAAATTACAATTTTTGAATTTGCAATTGAGAAACTGAAAAATAAAAATCAGGAACTTCAAGAACTGAGAAAATGATAAATTGAACAAAAGAAAATTTAAAAACTGAGAAACTAAAAAATCTGAAAAAAAATTGTAAAATCAAAAAATTGCAAAATTGAAAAATTGCAAACGGAGACACTGAAGAAACAAAAAATTGAAAAATTTGGAAGTGGAGTATTTGAAAAATTGAAAAAATTAAATTTGAAAAAATGAAAAATTATTAAACCGAAATATTCAAACATGAGAAAATTGGAAAATGAAAAAAAATGAAAAAACGAAAAATTGTGACATGTAAAAATTGTAAAACGCAAAAACTGAATAATAAAAAACCCAGAAAATGAAAAATTGAAAAATCATAAATTGTAAATCTGGGAAATTGAAAAATTAAAATTCGAGAAACTGAAAAGTGGAAAATAAAAAAAGAGAAATAATTATAAAATCGGAAATTGCAAAATCCAAAAATTACAAATCGAAAAATGAAGAAACGAAGAATTGAAAAAGTTAGAAGTCGAGAAATTAAAAAATTGAAAAACCCAAAGTTGAAAAATAAATTATGAAACCGAAACATGGAAAAATCGAAAAAAAAAGGAAATGAAAAAACAAAATACCAAAAATTATAAAATTGAATAACTGAATAATTATAAAATCCAGAAAAGGAAACATTGAAAAATTATAATTAAAATCAAGAACTTCAAGAACTGAAGAAACGAAAAATTGAACAATCGAAAAATTAAAAACTGAGAAACTAAGAAATCGAAAAAAAAAAACAAAAATTGTAAAATCCAAAAATTGCAAAATTGAAAAATTGTAAATCGAGACACTGAAGAAACAAAAAATTGAAAAATTTGGAAGGAAAGTATTTGAACAATTGAAAAAATTAAATTTGAAAAAATGAAAAATTTTGAAACCGAAACATTCAAAAATGAGAAAAAAAAAAATTGAAAAATGTAAGAAAAAATAAAAAATTTTAAATCTGGGAAATTAAAAAATTAAAATTTGAGAAACTGAAAAATCAAATAAATGAGAAATTGTAATATCGAAAGTTAAAAATCTAAAAATTACAAATCGAAAAATTGAAGGAACGAAGAATTGAAAAATTTGGAAGTCGAGAAATTCAAAAAAATTGAAAAACCCAAAGTTGAAAGAAGTTATGAAATCGAAAAATCGAAAAGAAAAGAAAATGAAAAAACAAAATACCCAAAAATTATAAAATTGAAGGAAAGGGAAAAACGAAAAATTGTAAAATCGAATAACTGAATAACTAAAATTTCAGAGAAAGAAACATTGAAAAATTACAATTTTTGATTTTTCAATTGAGAAACTAAAAAATATAAAATCAAAAACTTGAAGAAATCGAACAATCGAAAAATTAAAAACTCAGAAACTAAAAATTGAAAAAAAAAATTGTAAAATCCAAAAATTACAAACCGAGATACTGAAGAAACAAAACATTGAAAAATTTGGAAGTGGAGAATTTGAAAAAACGAAAAATTATGAAACTGGAAAATTGTGATATTAAGGAATTGTAAAATCGACAAATTGAATAATCAAAAATCCAGAAATGAAAAAATTGAAAAATCAAAAATGTAAATTTGAGAAATTAAAAAATCAAAAAAGTGGGAAATTCTAATCCCAGAATGTAATATTATAATTTTTTCAAGAAGCGGAATTTATCGGACCTTGAGGGATGTTTTGTCATAATAACCTTGTACAATTTTTTTACCAGCTTTGTTTTTCTAAAATTCCAAAAACAGCATAATATTTTCAAAACGCCAATGTCGCCAGCAAACTCTATCCTCAATCCGACACTGTTGCAACCATTTGAAATTTTCTGGTACAAGGTGATATAAAATTGATCAAAATCGTTCCAGTTTTAATTGTTTATTGTGGTTGTTCAGGTCTGCATTGATTGTTTCAACCTGTTGATTCAAATTTTTTGTACTACTGCCTACGACAATATGTAGTTTGATAGTATTGAAGCAATTTAATCAAGCGATATATTTTAGGCCGTGTTTGCTACCTGTGTATTTTTTATCTTCGTTACTTCACCGTTTTATTCCATCGCGATGTCATGCATCATTTGTTGCGACTTTATAAAAATTCAATTCCATGCTAATCAACGATTAATAACCTGTAATATTCAGATTACAGCGCTTGTAATAATTATACGTACAAATTCTTGCATATGCTGTCTTTTCAGAGTCGATATAATATCACGTCTAAGAATAAGTGTCCCATTTAGAAATATGTTTGCTATGTTGAGACTTTTTTGTTTTATTCTTGACCACTTTCTCTTCGAGATACCAGAGTAATCTTTGGCATGTGCGTGACATACGTAGAACGAAGTGTATTTTTACTTTGTTTTTTAAAAACTCGTCAAAATGCTGCTTAATTACAATATTCTCTGAAGATATCCAAATCAAGTATTCAAATTATTTTAAAATAATTGCAGAGATTTTCGACTTTGATATGATGCTTGATTTTTTAGTACCGTTATTAACACTTAATTCAATATAATGTAGTCTGCTAAATAAAATAAATCGTTCCTTTGATTGCTTCCTTTGTGTCTATACAAAACTCAGTTACTTTCTTTTTGTTGTTGGAGGTGATAAAATCTTGAAAACCGTCTAAACCCATCTTTAATTGGGCAAATTAACACGGGTAACGCGAGTACGTTGCACATAAAATGAGGATGAAAAAGAAAGTGCAGCACTTACATCAGTTTTCGAATAACTTCATGATAAATAGAAACGTTTACTTTAATGGCTAGTTTATGCCTTGTCTCCCTCGAGGCAGCGGAACGGAGTAATGTCTAGAATTTATAACCTGGCCATTTTTCTATGAAAATAATACGAAATCCGCATATTAATGCGCACTAAACGCAGCCATTTGTATCTAACATGTTTACAAATTTAAACCAGCCAATTTTAAAATGCATTATTTACACTCTACTTCTCGCAGACAGCGACCAAGAATGAATTACTTACATTCAATGTGTTTTATGTAATTTTCTCACTCGAATTATGTAATTTATGAAAATAAAATAATCGAAACCGAAAGTCGGAATCGTAACCATATCTTGTTCTTTCAAACTATTGTGTGCTGAAGACAATGTTGTGGTTATTTAATCTTCCCGACCGCAACGTTTTTCCACTAATTCATAGCCTGGTGTTTGGTTCTCGTGCTTTTTTCATTGAATTTTTCGTAAATTTATGCCGATTGAGATTTAAATGTTACAGGTTTCGAAGAGAAACGTCTGCTGAAATCCCATGGGGCAATGTATGTCGCGTAAGGCCGCAGGTGCTTTCGCAGCTTCTGCAGCCGCTGCCCACAACAGACCCGCCAAGATGCACAAGCATGCACAAATACAGGTAAGTCAGCCTTAAGTTTCCGCTTAAAAAAAAAAACAAGTCTTATCGGTGTACTAAAGGTGTAAATTTAGTTTTTGTGATGTTGATTTTGTTTTGATAACGCTTATCTTGAATCCTGGACCTCATGATTGACAGATTAAAATTTGATAAAAATTCAGCTTCTTAATACGGAAGATTCAAGAACAATGACACTTCAAGGTTTCGTGTAATCAATGAAAGTAAAGATTAGCAAATCGATGTTTATAAATTAATGTTTGTCTGATGATTAAGTAGCTATCGAGTTCTTCGGGCGACTTGTACTTTCGTGTTTTTTCGACGATTTTTGATACATAATCTCCAAAACTACTGAATCGATTCTTCTATGTGCAGTGGAAATACGATGTACATAGATTGGATAGCGCTAACCAAATTTAGCTAATTATTCCTACCACCATTGAGATGACGTCAACTGGAAAATTTACAATATTTTTTTAATTTTATAACAGTAGAACATTTTACCCTAGACATCCAGATTTTTGAAAAAAAAAATCAAAATAGTATAACAATATTTTCCAAATTAACTTTGAAACTCCAGAACCGAATGTTCTGAAATCCTGCAAACATTTTAAGTTTATCGTAATCATGGTAAATGGTTAATTAAAATTTATTAGTTTATCCTCTCCCAAAATATTTTCACTATACAGTACTCTACAATTTTTCGTTTTTCAATTTTTCAATTTCTGGACTCTCAAAATGTTCGGTTTTTCGTTTCTTCAATTTTCGATTTGCAGGTAGGTATAATTTAGCAATTTTTCATTTTTGAATTTTCCTATTTCTTAATTTTTATTTTTCATTTAATGATAATAATTAAGAATTGAAAATCTAAAAAAAACGGAAAAAATTGAAAAATCGAAAAACTGAAAAAAAGAAAAATTTTTCCGATTTTTTTAATTTTCAATACTTCGATTTTACAATATTCCGTTTTTTCTATTTTTCAGTTTTTATTGTTTGTTCAATTTTTCAAGTTTTCGTTTTATACTTTTTCGTTTTTTCATTTTTTATTTTTCAGTTTTACAATTTTACAATTTTTTCATGTTTTAATTCGAAAAGATTAAAAATCGAAAAAAGAAAATCGAAAAATAAAAAATTGAAAAAACATTGAACATTTGATTTTTCGATTTTTTAACTTTCAATTTTTCGATTTGGCAATATTGTTTTTTCGATTTTTCAATTTTTTGTTTATTCAATTTTTCAAATTCTTGATTTCCAATCTTTAGATGCTTCAAAGTTTTCGTTTTATACTTTTTCATTTTTCATTTTTCAGTTTCATAATTTTTTTCATTTTTTTGATTCGAAAAGTTGAAGAATCGAAAAGAAAATTCGAAAAATTAAATACTGAAAAACTAAAAAAAGACCGAAAAAGTTGAAAAATCGAAAAACTGAGAAAAGGAAGAATTACGAATTTGAAGAAATGGAAAATCAAAAAATTACAAATCAAAGAACTGAAGCGATAAAAATTTTTAAAATTCTTCAATTATGCAGTCTTTTTATTTCCAGTTATCAGATTTTCTGATTTCTTTAATTTTCAATATTTCGATTTTACAATATTCTGTTTTTTCAATTTTTCATTTTTTTTTGTCTGTTCAATTTTTCAACTTCTTGATTTCCAGTTTTTAGATTCTTCAAAGTTTTTGTTTTGTACTTTTTCGTTTTTCATTTTTTATTTTTCAGTTTTACAATTTTACAATTTTTTTCATTTTTTTGATTCGAACAGTTGAAAAAGCGAAAAAGTAAAAAAAAACAAAACCTTGAAAAATCGAAACACTGAAAAAATGGAAAATTACAGAATTGAAAAAGTGTAAAATTGAAGAACTGAAGAAAGGAAGATTTGAAAAATTTTCTAAATTTGCAGTCTTTAGATTTCCGGCTATCCGATTTTTCGGTTTCTTTAATTGTCAATATTTCGATTTTACAATATTCCGTTTTTCCGATTTTTCAGTTGTTTGTTCAATTTTTCAAGTTCTTAATTTCGAGTTTTTAGATTCTTCAAATTTTCGCTTTATACTTTTGTGTTTTTTCATTTTTTGTTTTTCAGTTTTAGAATTTTGCAATTTTTTATTTTTTATATTCGAAAAGTTGAAAAATCGAAAAACTGAAAAAATGAAAAATTACAAAATTGAAAAAGTGGAAAATCGAAGAACTGAAGAAACGAACATTTTTAAAATTTTTCAATTTTGCAGTCTTTGGATTTCCAGATATCCGATTTTCCGATTTTTTTATTTTCAATAATTCGATTCTTCAGTTTTTTGTTGATCAATTTTTCAAGTTCTTGATTTACAGTTTTCAGATTCTTCAAAGTTTTCGCTTTATACTTTTTTTAATTTTATTATTTTGCAATTTTTTAATTTTATTAATTCGATAAGTTGAAAAATCAAAAAAAAAAATTCGATTTTCCGATTTTACAATATTTCGTTTTTCCGATTTTTCTATTTTTTGTTTGTTCAATTTTTCAAGTTCTTGATTTCCAGTTTTTAGATTCTTCAAAGTTTTTCGTTTTACACTTTTTCGTTTTTTCATTTTTTTGATTCGAAAAATTGAAAAATCGAAAAAGAATCGAAAAACTGAAAAATCGAAGAACTGAAAAAACGAAAAATTACAGAATTGAAAAAGTGGAAAATCGAAAAATTCCAAATCGAATAACTGAAGCGACGAAAATTTTAAAATTTTTCTTTGAGTTTCCAGTTATCCGATTTTCCGATTTTTTAAATTTTCAATAAATCAATTTTTCAATTTTTTGGTTGTTCAAAGTTCTTGATTTCCAGTTTTTAGATTCTTCAAAGTTTTGGTTTTGTACTTTTTAGTTTTTTATTTTTCAGTTTATAATTTTCCAATTTTGTAATTTCATTGATTTGAAAAGTTGAAAAATCAAAAAGAAAATTCGAAAAATTAAAAATTGAATAACAAAAAAAAAACGTAAACTTGAAAAATCGAAAAACTGAAAAAACGAAAAATTACAAAATTGAAAAAGTAGAAAATCGAAAAAAATTTTCAATTTCTTTCATTTTCGATTTTACAATATTCCGTTTTTTAGATTTTTCAAGTTTTTTTTAATCCATTTTTCAAGTTCTTGATTTCCAGTTTCTAGATTCTTCAAAGTTTCAAATTCATACTTTTACGTTTCTTTCATTTTTTATTTTCAGTTTTATATTTTTGCCATTTTTTTCATTTTTTTGATTGTGAAAAAATCGAAAAAGAAAAATCGAAAAATTAAAAACTGAAAAACAAAAAAAAAAACGAAAACCATTGAAAAATCGATAAACCGAAAAATTTCAAATCGTAGGATTGAAGTTAACGAAAATTTTTAAAAATTTTTAATTTTTGCAGCCTTTGAATTTCCAGTTATCCGATTTTCCGATTTCTTTAAATATTCCGTTTTTTAGAATTTTCAATTTTTTGTTAAATTTTTCAAGTTCTGGATTTGCAATTTTGATTCGTCAAAGTTTTCGTTTTATACTTTTTCGTCTTTTCACTTCTTATCTTCCAGTTTTATAACTTTGCAATTTTTCCATTTTTTGCTTCGAAAAGTTGAAAAATCGAAAAACTAAAAATTGATAAACTAAAAAAAGGAAGAAAATTGAAAAATCGAAAAACTGAAAAACAAAAAATTGCAAATCGAAGAATTGAAGAAATTAAAATAGAAAAAAAAAATAATGAATCGAAAAATAGAAAAACCCAAAAATTATAGAAATATAGAAGCGTCGAATTTGTAAAGTCGAAAAACTGTAACATTGAAATTTTAAAAAATTGAAAAATTAAATCGGAAAACTGAAAAATCGAATAAATGAAAAAGTTTTAAAGTCTAATAATTGAAAAGTGGAAAAATTCTAGGATCGTAAATCTGAAAAAGTGTTTCTTTTTATTATAAATATTATTGCATATTCAAAATGAAGTCTAGAAAAATTTCAAATTAAAAATTGGAGAAACGAAAAATTGGAAAATCGAAAATTCTAAAATTGAAAAATCCAATTTTTAATTTTCATGATTTTCACAATGAAAATAAAAAATCTTATCAAATGAGCCGAAACGAAGAATTGAAATTGAAACTTTGAAGAAACGAAAAATTGAAGTACTTTAATATCAAAAAATTAAAAATTAAAAACTCGTGAAATTGCAAACCGAAAAATGGCAAAATTTAAAAACTGAAACATCCAAAATTTGGAAAATCGAAAATTGAAAAATTTAAAAATGAAAACTGGAAAAGATACACATCGAAGAGTTCCATCTCGTAAAATTGAAGAAACAAAAAACTGAAACATTGAAAAATCGCAAAACGAAAAACTAAAGGAACAAAAAATTGAAAAAATTTAAATGGAAAAGCAAAAATTATAAAATCGAGGCGTTGAAAATTCGAAAAATTATAAAAATAATAATAATAATGGGTGTCCATATAGATTCAAAAATTTTATAATTTAATTTAAAAAATAAAGAAAACAAACGAAAAATTGCAAATAGAAAACTTGAAAAATTGAAGAATTGTTATAAAAGCCAGTAATTGAAAAATGTAAAAAATTTAAAATCGTAAAATTGCAAAAAGTGAAATATTTATTAATTTTGTTATTTATTTAAAACGAAAAGTAGAAAAATTGTAAATCAAAAATTGGACGAACGAAAAATTGAATAATCTTAAAATCGAAAAATCTACATTGAAAAAACGAAAGTTGAAAAATCGAAATATTGATTACCGAAAAATTTAAAAATCAAAAAACTGAAATATTTTACAATGAAAAACCGAAAAATTGAAAAAATAAAGAAAATAAAAAACCAAAACGAAAAATTGATCATCGAAATGTTGAAAAATTATAAAATTAAAAATTAAAAACTCGTGAAATTGTAAATCGAAAAATGACAAAATCTAAAAATTGGAACGTCCAAAGGTCGGAAAATCAAAAAACTAAAATTTTTAAAAATGTAAACTCGAAGAGATTCGCATCAAGGAGTTCTATGTCGTAAAATTGGAGAAA